GGTTTTTCACTCTTTAGGATGGATGCCAGCACAGTTTTACTGTTGCTTGTCCACTTTGTCAGATTAAATCCTCCCTTTGCACAAAAATCCTTGAATTCTTCACATAACTTCACAGCTTGATCAGCAGAAGCGACAGATTTTAAGCAGTCATCAACATAGACATTTCTTCCGACAGTGTCAACAGCTTCTGCAGAGAAATCATCTTTGTTGTCTTAAGCGGTTTTAGCGAGAGCATAGGTTGCACAACTTGCTGATGAAGTGGCACCAAATAGATGTACTGTCATCCTGTACTCAGCGAGAGGTAAACTGACATCTCCTCCTGGCCACCAAAGAAAGCGAAGATAATCTTGATCGGCAGGAGCCACCTTGACCTGATGGTACATCCCCTCCACATCAGCCATGAAAGCTATCTGTTCTTGTCTGAATCAAATGAGCACACCAAGTAGCGTGTTGGTAAGATTGGGACCCTGTATAAGCTTGTCATTTAATGAATATCCTTGATAAGATGCGGAACAATCGAACACTACACAAATCTTGCCCTTCTTTGGGTGATGAACTCCATGATGTGGTATGTACCACACCTTTCCACTCTCAGGTTTGAGCTGCTCTTGGGGCAGTAGCTGAGCGTGACCTTTTGCTATCACAGCCTCCAAGAATGTGTTATATTCATCATGGAAAACTTTGTTCCTTTTGAATTTCCTTTTTAATGATTCTGCTCTCTGCTCTGCAAGTTTGCGATTGTTTGGCATCATGATATTCTTCTGTTTGAATGGAAGTTCAAGCTGATAATGTCCATCTTTGATTTGAGCTGAATCTGACATGATCTTCAAAAATAGTTTGTCTTCAACTGACATCTCTTTCTTCTCATCACAACCTTTCTCTGGAAAGTCATGATTGTATTGCTGCACCAGCAGCTCACCTAAATCTGTCACTGATATCCGATTAACAACAGCACATGAAGTATTCTCAGATTCAGTGGTTTCCTGATTCAGTCCATTCACAACCCAACCTAGGACTGTCTTAACAGCAAAAGGTCCTCCATTTTGACTGTTTATTATTTCCCACGGCTCCATTAGCTTTGGTGCATTTGTTCCTATAAGCAACCCGATTTCACAATCCAATTCAGGCAACTTAATTTCTCTTAGATATTTCCATTTATGTATGGTCTCTTGAGTGGGAATGTGCTCTTTTCCAGCAGGAATTTCCTCTTGTGTGTAGACTTTAGGCAGCTGATAAAAATCATTGCCTTCGATGCAACTCACTTCAAGACTTTGACAAAGGAAGTGTCAATCATTTTCTCCTGACCCATTGTTTTTAAGAGGATTTTTGTTCTCTTGGCTTTGGCATGCAAATCTTGTTGAAGGGCTTCAGTACAGAAACTTGCAGTGCTTCCCTGATCCATAAATGCGTAAGTCTGCACATTCTGGTTCGAGTTTGACAACTTGATTTGAACTGGGATAATTGGTAGGGTTTGTTGACCAGTGTGGTTTCTGCCATTTAAAGAGACTAATGCACTGCTTACAGAAGCTGCTTGGGTGTATTTATCAGAGTTGTCTTTTTGTTCAATCCTTTTCTTGTTGATGTGCAATATTGTTGGATGTTTCATTGAACAAACTTCACATTTCATTCTTTTCTGACAGTCTTTGCTTAGATGTTCTTTCGTTAGACAGCCAAAGCAAATTCCTTGTGCTTTTAAGCAGTCGATGTTGTCATTGTGAGATGTTTTGTTCATCTTACATGTTTCAGAGGTGTGTTCTCCTGCACAAAATACACAGCGCTTCTGAACAGGAATGCCTTTATGGTCTGAGTTGATATTTTGGAAAGGTTTTTGCTCTTCATTAACTCCTGGGCTTGTCACAGTAACAAAACTACTTCCCTTATAACCATGAGCAGGCTTATTGCTGGGTGACTTGTACACTTTAATATCCCTTTTGGCATGACATCCTGTATGTCTCCAAACATGGGGTCTGATACAATGCGTGCATGCTTTTCAATGAAGTCGACCAATATTGGAAACTTTGCTCTTGTCTTATTGTGTTCATAATATGCATAGGCAGTTGTTCTCCACGTTTCCCTAAGTTTAAATGGGAGTTTCATGATCACATTTCTCATGTTTGATGTGCTATTCATTTAATCCAAAAACTCAACATCTTCCATTGTGTTGCAACATCCACAAAGAAAGATAGCATAAGAATGCAGTGCTTTTCTATCTTCACTCTTGATGGCATTCCAGTTCAACATTTTGTCCAAACAAGCTGCTGCGATTAAGAGTTGATGTCCATAGTTCTCTTGGAGCAGTCTTTTGGCTTCCAAAAAGCCCTTTTTAGAATCCATGTATTGGCAACTTTTGACCAAGTCTTTAGCTTGGCCTTCTGTATACTGCTCTAGAAAGAACAGCCTGTCTTTGTAATTGTCAGTTTTATCTTCTATTGTATGCTCGAACATTCTGATGAATGAAAGGTACTGTAATGGATCTCCTTTAAAGATGGGTATTTCTCTGGATGGGAGTAATGTTAAGCGTTGCTCCTTCATTAGCATTTCAGTGATTTCGTTTTGCCGCTGCATTACTTGAATAAAGTCATTGCTTTCTGTACGAGAGCTTTGTCTGACTTGGATGGAGTGATGCTGCTGTGCTGATGCTGCTATCCTTGTTGTGGGCCCTGGTTGTAATACTTGGACATGACCACTAGGGGCTGCATGATTTGAGTTCATTGAACTTGAGTATATGAAACTCTTTTTATTGTCCTTCTCCACAGGTTTTCCTTGGTTATCTTCATCCTGGAAATCATCATTTTCAGCCGGCTGACCCGTGTCATACTGCTCCTCCCCAACACAAGCTCAGGATCAGAGTCATCATCCTCAGAAGCTTCCAATGTTTTAATTTTGGCTGTTGCAGCATCAATATCAATTTGAAGCTCAAGCTTTTCCATTTTAGCTCTGATATTGGCTTCCATTGCTTCCAGGTCAGCTTCTTGTTTTTCAAGCGAGTGTTTCTGTGATAAGGCAGCAGCGCGTGATCTGAGCGCAGCTCTCTCTGCCTCTGTTCTTACTGATGAAGCTGTTGAAGATGTATTGCTGCCACTAGAACTTTTACCTTTTTTGCTTATCATGCCCACTGATATTGCTTTATGTGGACTTGACGTATGTGCAGTATATGAGCCATGGTCAGAAGGAGGCACACATGCTCAAAGGAGGCAGCTCTAGCTAACCATTTCTTCATCACATCTTGAAACTCATTGAAATATGCAATTTTTGGGAGATACCAGTCAACATGATCACTTTCCTGTTCTTGCTCCGAGAGCATTTCTTGCACTGAGTAATGTGAGTTTGAAAACTCTTTGGAGAGTATTTGAAAAACCCCACGACAACCTTGCATCTCAATGATATTCCCATAATCAATCATGAGTGAATTAATCTCATTTTTTTTCCTTGAGACTTGACCCAATTTCGTTCTCCTTTTTTTAATTAACTGCGCCAGCTTATCTTCTAAAGCCTTTTCTGTAGGTCTTATTGTTCTTTTTGGTCTGACGTCAGCATTTTCCACGGGCACTTCACGTTCATTCCCGTTTGGGTCCATAGGACTTTCATTTGTTTCCACATTTTCCTTTTCAGCCATTGTTATGCTTTATTGTCATTAAACATCCACTTGTAAACAGCTGTCCTTATTTTAATGTTGCGCTTTGTTAGTGTGCGACTTGGATCAGACAAACTTATTAAAGCGCTTTTCAAGATGCGCTCCTTGAGTTACGTTCCACACTTTATTCATAAGCGAATTTATTCCACTTCCAGCATTAGATTATACTGTATTGCAACATCCACAACATGCGGCACAAGCCTTTTTCCACAGAAATTGTCACGTTGTCACAATCCAGAAAGTCAATGCGGTCCTTCCTTGTTCACTATGAAGTCCGTGATTTGTAAACTCACGATTCACATCTGCTCGTATCCATTCATTTCCAAGAGTATTTCATTCATTATAATAATATGGTGGCAACCATTTAATTCCACACGGATTTGTCCGTCACTAGAGTTTTTAACAATGTCGTGGCTTCCTTCCTTGTTTTTCCACCAAGCCACTAGACGCCTTAAACAGACAGTTCTAACTCGTTTATTTCCTTAAAGTACTCACAGTTTGAAGTGTTGCTTGGCCTCCGATGGTTTAGAAGATGTTGCGATGTATTTGCTCAAAATAAAGTAACAAACTTTTGCACATGCAACAAAGAAAAATAGGCCTTTACAATATTCAAAAGAAATAGGCAAAACTCAAATAAAACACAACTTAGGTATTATTTCTTTCTTGATAACTTCACAACTTAAAGGGTACTTGTACGGTTTGTATGTACGGTTACGAGTATTGAGTACGGTTAAAAACTGTTCCTCGTCGGCGTCTCTCAACAGGTTGCCCATCACTGTGGCGTTAGCCCAGGCGCCGTGGGAATTGTAGTCCTGTATAGTGCGTTGACTACAGACGTCACAATTAGGTGGCCTTTCTTATCAAATCAAATTACTGGCTCTAACAGATAGATTATATCTATATGGCGCTGATCTTAGCTATCTCTTAGTGGAGGAAAACAATTGTGACATCACTTACGCGACTTTGGGATGTGTAGTCTTTCTAGTTGCGTATTTTTCATAGTCTTATATTTCAACAGTTTTACCACAAACTGACTTTTTTGACATTGAAATTATTTTTTAAGATTGACAAACATCATATGTGTAATTCATGGCACAATTCAAAACGGGATCGAAAGATAAGTTAACAAGTAAGCTACAGTGTAGATATGGAAATGAAAAACTTAAGTCAGGCTCCTCCAACAGGGCAACATGAATATATAGAACATAAAACAAATAAAATAGTGCAAGAGAATGTTTTGAAATGTGCAATTAAATACAAATAAAATAGAATAGAAGTAGAAAACTAAGCATGAAACTTAGGATGGACCTTTTCTATTTAAATAAAAGTGCTTATAGTTTAACGCTTGTCAGAGCTTCGACCTTACCTGATGTTTTCCTTATTCCATTAAAGGATAGTTATTGTAAAGTCCTTCACATCTGAGCTCAATGTCTCTAAAAGTCCCATTTATACTTATTTTATTGTTTACTATTTATTTTGCATCCTTTATCCATTTAACACGAACTCTGACTGGTTCAGCAGCATTTTCTATCTTCTGTGCTCAAAGTATTTTTGATGAGTGGCCTCCCAGGTTTGACTGGAAAGATGGGCTTTTAGAGGTTGTTTTGTACAAAATCAACAGACCTTTGATCCAAATCTGAATTGGAACACCTTTTCTGGAATAACAGGTAAGCAGAAAGTAACATTTCCCGGCATCAGTAAGAGTTCTAGATGAACACGTTGAGCAGCATCTTCCCCTCCTTCCTTATAGTAAATGTTTTAACCTGTTATGGCTATTACATTTGAAAGAGTATACATATTTTGTATGCAAAAAGGTTGTTCAGGAGATCATCCTGTTTCACCCGTAAGGTAGATTCAAGATTTAGGATTCAAGGCTTTATTGTTAATGAGAACTCCTTCACATCTGAGCTCAACGTCTCTAAAACTCCCATTTAAACTTATTTAATTGTTTACCATTTGTTTTGCATCCTTCATCCATTTCACACGTTACCACTTTCCAACTATTTATATTACTTAAGCTGCTTTTACCTGTATTTTCTACTTCTATTTAATGATTAATGATCTGTACACACTTTCATTTTCACATCTTTCAAATATTAGGAGTTTTATATACATTTCAAACATGATGGGTATTTGAACTTTTGATCGACATTCATGTCATTCAGTGTTGTGTCAGCAAGATGTTACGTTATGTTGTGTTCATATTGAGGCACCGCTGACCTTAAGTTGCCCCTTTTTCTCTGGCTAATCAATAGACCTTTGATCAAAATCTTAATTGGAACAACTATTCTATCAATCAATCAATCAATGTTTATTTATATAGCCCAATATCACAAATGTTACATTTGTCTCAGTGGACTTTACAGTTTGTACAAAATATCAGTATGACAATACGACACCCTCTGTCCTTAGACCCTCACATCGTACAAGGAAAAACTTCCAAAGAAAACCCACAGTTTAAAGGGAAAAATGGGAGAAACCTCAGGGAGAGCAACAGAGGAGGGATCCCTCTCCCAGGACGGACAGACGTGCAATAGATGCCGTGTGTAAATTGGAAATATAATACATTTGCAACATAGGTAGTCCAAATGTTTGGAAATGCATGTGTGTATAATAGGAAGATGAATCCACAAGGATATTGTGACGACCCCTGCCTTGTTATCTCTGGTGTGTGTATGTTCCTTTAAGGTTTTCCCTTTGGTCTATCAGCTGGGATTGAGGACACCTGGCGGCTGGAGCTAGCCGGATAAAGGACCGGGCCGGATCTCGCTCTCGCTCTCTCTCTGGCAGGAGGACGCAGCGCGAAGAGCAGCCACGACCAGCTGACCTCTTGTTTAGTAGTTTGTTTCGCCTGTTTGTGTCCTTCGGCAGCAGTGAATAAACTCTTGTTTCCTATTCACGTCCTCGTTTTCTGTCGCGCGTTTGTTGTGGCTGAGAGCCAAGCCATGACAGCTGGGGGCTCGTCCACTTCTTTTTATCTGTGATACAGCAACGGATAGGTGAGATTTGTGTGGGTTTCGGAAACAGTTCTGAATTGGTTTGAATCCTACTTAAAGGACAGAAACAACTTTGTTTCTATAGGTAAATACACATCTGAATTGACAAATATGACATGTGGGGTTCCTCAAGGCTCCATCTTGGGGCCTCTTCTCTTTAACATCTACATGCTACCACTGGCTCAGATAATGAAGAACAACAAAATAAGTTACCATAGCTATGCAGATGACACACAAATTTACGTAACAATTTCACCAGGAGACTATGCTCCAATTCAAACACTGAGTAAGTGCATTGAACAAATCAATGACTGGATGTGTCAGAACTTTCTCCAATTAAACAAAGATAAAACTGAGGTAATGGTTTTTGGAGCCAAGGCAGAACGTATAAAAGTTAGCGCTGAGCTTCAGTGTGCAATGTTCAAAACAACAGATAAAGCCAGAAATCTAGGTGTAGTCATGGACTCTGACCTGAGTTTCAACAGTCACATTAAAACTGTTACTAAATCAGCCTACTATCACCTAAAGAATACATCTAGGATTACAAGACTAATGTCACAGCAGGATTTGGAAAAACTTGTCCATGCTTTTATCTTCAGTAGACTCGACTACTGCAATGGTGTCTTCACAGGTCTCACTAAAAAATCTATTAGGAAGCTGCAGCTAATTCAGAACGCTGCTGCTCGAGTCCTCACTAACACTAAGAAAGTGGATCACATCACTCCAGTTCTGAAGTCTTTACACTGGCTTCCTGTGTGTCAAAGAATAGATTTCAAAATACTGCTGCTGGTTTATAAAGCACTGAATGGTTTAGGCCCAAAATAGATTTCTGACCTCCTGCTAAATTATGAACCATCCAGATCTCTCAGGTCTTCAGGGACTGGTCAGCTTTCTGTCCCCAGAGTCAGAACTAAACATGGTAAAGCAGCGTTCAGTTATTATGCTCCAAATATCTGGAACAAACTCCCAGAAACCTGCAGGTCCGCTGCAACTCTTACTACTTTTAAATCCAGGCTGAAGACTTTTCTTTTTGTCGCTGCTTTTAATTGAACTATTCATATCTTAGACTGCACTGTAACTTTTATCCATGTACTTTTTTCTTTTAATGTTTAATTGACAGCACTGTAACTTTTATCCATGTATTTTTTCTTTTAATGTTTATTTTATTAGCTTTTCTTTTTAATGACTGATTTTAAATGCCATTTTCTTAATCTCTTTCATTTTTTGTAAAGCACTTTGAATTGCCTTGTGTTGAAAAGTGCTATATAAATAAACTTGCCTTGCCTTGCCTTGGGTTGGTTGGTGCGTTGCATGTGGAGCAGTGCGGAACGGTGCGGAGTTTTCCCTGGCAGGTTAAGCGGCGGTTCCCTTGGGATCGTTGAGCGGGGTGTGTAGTGTTGCGGAGAAAGTGGTTGAAGCCTTGGCTTGGGAGCATGGCCGTGGTCTCAGTAGTGTTGCTAGCTTGCTAGTCGCTTTGCTGGATTAGCGGTCTCTAGTGCATAAATACCCATCACAAGTAACTGCATGAAGACTAGGGAGGAGATTAGTCAGTGGGATGGTGAGTTAGTGGGGAAACTCCAATCAAAAAAATTAGTGTTCCACTTTGGACGCATAATAAATGTGGTGGTATCTGTCCGGTTGGTTTGTGTTCTCTTCTTTCGGTTTAAAGGTCCGGTGTTGTGTTCCGGTGAGGGGTCGGTGTACATTAAGATGGCTGACGTAGAGGCATTTATTGAAGCTCCGTCTCAGGAGTCTCTTGCCACTTTCTCAAGAGAGCAGCTGCTCTTAATTGCTGAGCATTTCTCTGTGTCTATTGTCGGTGATAGAAGGGTGAAAGACAACATAAAAGACTCTATAGTGTCGACATTAAGTGAGACAGGAGTGTTTGCTGCAAAGGAAGAGGGGGTTTTGTTAAAACCTCTTTTTCAGGCTAGTTCACTGTCCTTTGAGCAGCAGAAGGAGATGTTATTGTTGCAGCTGAATCATGACAAAATGAGGTATGAGATGGAGTGTGAAAAGGAAATTGCAGTGGAGCAGATGCGCCAGGAGACTGAGAGAGCCAAACTGGATATGGAAGGACAACGTCTTTCTATGGTCAGAGATGGTGCGGTGTTGGGTGAGTGGCACGGTGAACAGGTGCCCAGGTCTCCTCATCGGTTCGATGCTAACAACTTGCGCTTGTTACCGCAATTTAATGAAAGTGATCCTGACACTTTTTTTTTGCTTTTTGATCGTGTAGCTAGGGCTAGAGATTGGCCTGATGCGGACTGCGCTCTGATGCTTCAGTGTGTTCTCACAGGGAGAGCGCAGTCAGCATATTCCTCCTTATGTCTTGAGGATAGCTCTAGCTATAGTAAAATAAAATCGGCGGTGCTTAGAGCATATGAACTGGTGCCAGAGGCCTATCGACAGCGTTTTAGGTCCTTTGAGCAAAACAAGATCAAACATATGTGGAGATGGCGAGGGATTTGTCTGTTCATTTTAAGCGTTGGTTAACTGCTCTTGACGTCACTACTTTTGACGATTTGTGTGAGCTCATGACTTTGGAACAGTTCAAAAATATTCTTCCAGACAAGATTGCTATTTACATAACAGAACACAGGGTCACTTCTGCGGCTGAAGCTGCTGTGGCAGCTGATGAGTTTGTGTTGCTTCATAAGAGCAGGTTCGGAGGGCGCTCTGGGGCCCGGGCTGTTTTTGAGGGAAGTAGAAAGGTTGGTTCATTTGGGATGGAGCCAAGGAACTTGGGTTTGGTCAAGTCTGAGGGAGATAATAATGATATTTGCCACTACTGTCGCGAAAAAGGCCATTGGAAGGCAGACTGTCCTGCGCTTAGTGCAAAATCTGAGGGAGGAAGATATTTTGTTGGGCCTGTTGCGTTGGCTGCTCCTGTGGAAAGCAGCGGTGTTGCCGATGTGCTTACATCCCACTTAGGTGGATCTGAGGTTTTGGCATCTTATGCTCCATTTATACGAGACGGCTTGGTGTCATTGGTAGGTAGTAATGTCAGAGTTCCAATCAAAATCTTGCGAGACACAGGGGCTTTTGACTCCTATATTGTTGACTCTGTTTTGCCTCTGTCTTATGAAAGTGACACTGGTGACACCCTTCTGAGTAGGGGACTGGGATTAAAAGTTCTTCCTGTTCATAGGATGTATATTGACTGTGGTCTTGTTAAGGGTGAGGTGGCTGTTGGTGTACGTCCAGCTTTGCCAATCGAGGGGATACAGTTCATCCTGGGCAACGGTTTGGCAGGTAGCAGAGTCTGGACTGATGTTCCCCCTGTGCTTTTAGTGACTGGCGGTCCGATTGAATCAAGGTCTGAGGAGAGCTCTACAGTGTTGGCAGACGTCACGCCCTCTGGTGTGATCACTCATGCTATGGACAAAAACATGTTTAGAAAACAGAAGACCAAGCATTGTCCCACTAGTCAAAGTGGTCGTGGCGGCGGTGGCGTTGATGGTGGTCGTGGTGGCGGCAGCGTTGATGGTGGTCGTGGCGGTGGCAGCGTTGATGGTGGTCATGGCAGAGGCAAGGAAATGTCCTGCTATCGGTGTGGAGACCAAGGACACATGGCTCGTGACTGTGGGCATGCCAACGACCGGAAGTGCTATTCCTGCGGTGGGCTTGGTCACATCCAGAGACGTTGCAGTAGGGTGAAATGTTACAGGTGTGGCGACATTGGCCACGTGGCGGTGCATTGCAGTAAAGCCAGTGAAACTAACTGCTACAACTGAGGAAGCATGGGCCGTGACGGTAATGTATTGTCTGTCATACTGTTTAATAAATCGTTCTCGCTCTGCCCATCCTTTTAAAGTGTGCTTCTCAGGTTGCTTACCTGTGTTGCTAAAGATGTGGCTGGGTGTGGGAGGAGCGGCTGGCAGTGTGAGGGTTGTATGTTGCAATTGTTGGTTTTGTTGGAAGTGGGGTTCCGTATGTCTGGTATTTTTGTTGTTCATTACTGGTGTGTTTTTTGTTTTGTCAGGGTTGGTGTGCCGGTGGTCCTGGGGACACCGACTTTAAGGGGGGGGGTGTGTGACGACCCCTGCCTTGTCATCTCTGGTGTGTGTATGTTCCTTTAAGGTTTTCCCTTTGGTCTATCAGCTGGGATTGAGGACACCTGGCGGCTGGAGCTAGCCGGATAAAGGACCGGGCCGGATCTTGCTCTCGTTCTCTCTGGCAGGAGGACGCAGCGCGAAGAGCAGCCACGACCAGCTGACCTCTTGTTTAGTAGTTTGTTTCGCCTGTTTGTGTCCTTCGGCAGCAGTGAATAAACTCTTGTTTCCTATTCACGTCCTCGTTTTCTGTCGCGCGTTTGTTGTGGCTGAGAGCCAAGCCATGACAATATCCATCCAGGACCTATGATCCAGGACCACAGCCACGACTCAAGATCCAGGGCTCGCGATCCAGGACAGAGGAGCGCAGGATCCTCCATGACTCCGGATCCCGGCGTATATAGACACCAAAAAGAAAGACATTTGGGGAAGCTGGGTTAATCGGAACATGAGTACACAGGAATAGACAGAGAGAAGGAAGAAGTAAGATGTCACCCGACAAACTAAGCCTATATCAGCAAAACTAGGGGCTGAATCTAATCAGCCCTAACTATAAGCTTTATCAAAAAGGAAGGTCTTAAGTGCACTCTTAAAAACGGATAGGGTGTCTGCTGCCCGAACACAAACTGGAAGCTGATTCCACAAATGTGGAGCTTGATAAGAAAAGGCTCTGGCTCCCATTGTACTTTTAGAGACTCTAGGAACAACCAACAACCCTGCATTCTTGGAACGCAATGCCCTAGTAGGACAGTAGGGTATAATGAGTTCTTTAAGGTAAGATGGCGCCTGCCCATTAAGGGCTTTGTAGGCGAGAAGAAGAATTTTAAATTCTATCCTGTGTTCTATAGGGAGCCAGTGTAAGGCAGCCAGAACAGGAGTAATGTGGTCCCTTTTCCTAACTCTGGTTAGTACACGAGCCGCAGCATTTTGAATCAGCTGAAGCGACTTGACTGACTTCTTGGTACACCCTGATAATAAAGAGTTACAATAATCCAGCCTTGAAGTAACAAATGCATGGACTAGTTTCTCTGCATCGTTTTGAGGCAAGATATGCCTGATTTTTGCAATGTTACGTAGATGGAAGTAGGCGGTCCTTGAAATTGATTTTATGTGGGCGTTAAAGGATAAATCCTGATCAAATATAACACCAAGATTCCTTACAGTCTCACTGGAGGCCAAATTAATGCCATCCATAATTAGTATATCCTTAGATAATTTGTTTCGTAGATTCTTCGGGTCAAGTACAATAACTTCAGTTTTGGTCGTGTTTAACATCAAAAAGTTTAAGGTCATCCACGTTTTTAAGTCCTTAAGGCAGTCTTGAATTTTATTTAGATGATTAATTTCATCAGGCTTGATTGATAAATATAGTTGAGTATCATCCGCATAACAATGAAAATGTACAGAATGATTCCTTATAATATTGCCTAACGGAAGCATATATAATGTGAACAAAATAGGTCCGAGCCCTGAGCCCTGTGGCACTCCATGGCTAACTTTGGTTTGCGTGGAAGATTCATCATTGACACGTACAAACTGAGAGCGTTCAGATAGATAGGACCTAAACCAGCCTAAAGCAGTTCCCTGTATGCCAACTAAGTGCTCTAGTCTTTGCAATAAGATATCATGGTCAATAGTATCAAATGCAGCACTGAGATCGAGCAAAACAAGAATAGAGACACGTCCCTTGTCAGAGGCTATTAGAATGTCATTTGTGACTTTAACCAGAGCTGTCTCTGTGCTATGATGTGTTCTAAATTCTAGAATACCAAAGTAGTAAAAAGGGGTGTAGCAGCGGATAATGCATCCATCATTTGTGTAACCCAACCCCAGCATTAAACTGAATGTGGAACTTCACTGTTACTGCTGCATGTAGATACTGAATTTCCCCATGGGGATTAATAAAGGTCCATCTTACCTTAATTTAACTTATTACTGTGTCTCTGACAAATATTGTATAAAATGAAATAAGTATATCATTTTCTGTCAGGTTCTCGAATAACGGTAACATAGCAAAATACAGAGAACAAAAAAGTAAGATGAACCCAACCTGAGTTTTCCCCTAAATAAGACACAAAGCAGGTGAACATGCATCCTCTTGGATTTACTTGTGAAACAGGTCCATTATATATAGGAGCTTTCAAAGTGACCACATAAGAATGGTAGAGTAGAACACCTTATCTCCAATTATTGTATTCTCATTCAACCCCCCTATAATTTTAAGGCATATCTCGTTCAGTTTTTTTGAAAACTGCATTCTTGTTTTGAAAGAAAAGACTGATGATTCCAGGGGGGGGGGGATATGCACTCCCCCAGCTGTATTTAAGGAGACAGGAGAGCACTTCATGAACCAAACTGTTCCACTGAGAGGTCCTGCTGGTGAGTTTATTTTGTTTTTGCTGAGAAATGTAACATGCAACTATTCTATTTTCCTGAACTTTTTAACTATTGATTTTAAAATAATGTGATTTTGTGGAATGTATGCTTAGATTGTAAATGTATTTAGTGTAAATGCTGAAATGCATTGGTATGATTTTTGTTATAGCTTTCAACCTTTGCACACATTTTCAGCATTAGTTAAAAGTAGTTTTCTTGTTAAAACTGAAATAAAATAGAAAGTTCATCTCACATTCTTTTTATTTCAAGCAACTCCATTTATTTTGATAATGCTCATGTTGATTTAAATTCCTAATTTCAAACTTCCTTTACAGTTTTAAAGGTCCCTGATCCTCTGTAACCATGATCAAATTGGTAATGTTTGATTTTGGATTATATTTCCTTTCATTCTATGTAGATTTACAAGTTTTGCAATTACAGTATGTCATAATAAACTTTACATTTTGTATTTTCTCTGATAGTTAAGTGTTGCCATTTTTGCCGCATTGTTCTTGGGTAGGTTAATTATAAAAATGACATGATCATATTTGTACTTCACCCGGAATATACAAAGTCATAGTTTGTAAACAATTTATCTTAACCTTTATCAGAAAGCCACCAGCGGCGTCCCAGTCCAGAAGAACCATTTTATCCAGAGCCAGAAGAGCCAAAAGGTAAGTCATTTTTTAAACCATTCAGTTGCATAAGCATTCATTTAGGAGAGTTTTACAGCTTCCTACCCAGTCGTCCACTCACTCGTTTATTGCTCCTTGCAGTGTGCTGGACCAAATGGTTTGACCGTGACAATCCCAGTGGCACAGGGGACTGGGAGCTTTTGAAGGACCTGAGGAAAGAAAACACAGGAAAGATCTGTAAATACCCTCTGTACATTGAGGCCATTACCACTGACACGATGACCCCAGCCATCTCCACAGGGCAGACCTTCTATATGTAAGTTGCCTCATTGAAATAATGCAAATGATTATTTAACCACATCCCAGAAATACATCGGTACTTCTGAACATTACAAACTCCTTACAAGTCACCCACATGTGCTGCCTGGAGCTGCACCTATAACAGTGATTAGAAACTCTGTACATGGACATTTAATTTACATTAGAAGACATTTTAATTATTTCAAATGATCATTGTGGATATCTGAGATATTTAATATTAGAAACAAAGTTCCACCTGACAACAAGAACAATTATGATAATTGAAAGGGTTGTTGAGGTTTATTTGAACTAGCATCAATGTACTTTAATAAACTACGTTGGGTTTATCTCAGAGCTAAACATGAATTATGGTCTAAGCAACATATCCAATTTAAAATACGTTTTTGTTTGCTTTTAAAATTGGTTTTCTTCATATAACTATCGAACTGATTCATTTAATAATTGGTATTGTTTTTCAGCTACAATCTGACTCAGGGATTTGTTTGCCGCAACAAGGACCAGAGAAAGGGCATGTGCCGTGACTACAAAGTTCGCTTTCGCTGCCTGTGCAGGAATTAAGCTGCGACTCCACAGCAAACATCCAACAAGAATATGAAGCTTCGATTGCTTTAAATGTTGTCCTTTTCTCTTTACCTGTCTATTTTATATCTTACTTTGCCTGATGAACGAAGTTCAATAGACCTTTCTTACCGCAGACATGTTGACTTGTAGCAGGAACAGGACCATGAAGCCTTATCAGCTGATTAAAACTGAGCTTTATATCGGAGTATGTTTTACGCCTGTACGTTGTAGAGTTATATTTGTATTTATTCATGTTAGCAAACTATGGATAAGCTTAAAATGGGAATAATTTGGGTAAAACTGTGAGCTGCATTTGGGGCCTGTTGACATGTGTTTTTGAGGACAAAGGAAGATGGGGGAAGGTGAGAGCATGTCCTGATTTGCATTCAACTTAGAACGAGCTACAGTGGTTGTGATGTTAAGAGAGGTCCCTTGGGTTTCTCTGGTGCTTATCAATAGTAGCAGTTAAGTGAATACTGTTCAAACAATACCTGTGTTTGTGTTTTATATTGATTTCTCTGTTTTATCCTTTCATAAATGTAAGGACTACAAATGGCTATAAACATTCTGGGCTGGTTGGAGTAAACAGGGTTTTATGGCTCTGTGGGGGAGGTGTAGGTATGCAGGCCTTGAGACCTTTTGTTGTAAAGTGAGCCTGTGTGGTTTCCTGCTGCGTTTCCTGCTGCGTTGCGTCTCCCAATGAGAGGACCTGAACAGATGACCAGCTGACCTAACACCAAACCCCTCCTTCTTACTCTGGTATATATCCGGTGGATCCCTGGGTTTGGGCTCTTCTTCACATGCTGCCCTCGGGTGAAAGTAGCTCTGCAGTATGCGGACTAGAGCAGGAGTAAGCCGGCATTACTCCTTAAGCATTGCAATATAACTGTAATATATCATGTTGTATTGTAATGATTGTATTGCATTGTCATATTGCCATTAAAGTAGATTATTGTTAACGGTTACTTTGTAGATATGGATTCCTTCCTGTATTATAACCAGCTTCATAGGAACGCGCGGAGATTTGAAAAGCGGACCAGTTATCCCTTTAAATCTCCAACAACGTTTACCAACATGTCTTCTGTGTTCAAATGCCTCATGTCGTGTGCTTTATGAGTTTTCTTTTATTTTTCTAGTGATTATGAAATCATTGTCTGGTAATGTAGGAAATAAATCCACATCCAACAGCAATAAAACTGCTAATAATGAGCAAATCCCTTTTGTCATTAAGTTATTGCTCATAACCACTCTGCCTAAGATTGTGTTCACGTGCTTACATGAAGTTGTAATTTGGAGTGAATAATGTAGAATTTTGTAGAAACTGATATGATATGCAGACAGTAGGAGGTGCTCAATAGCATTTTAGCATTAATATGGGAATATTTAAAAAAGCAGTGAATCTGAATTTAATATTAACATACACGCATACACTAACAAGCATTCAGGCACACATGGTTTCCCAACCTATAGCTTCCTGTCTATCTATTACTGTGTGTTTTCAGAGCAGTGTCCACAAACTCTCTCTGCTGACCTGAATCCCACCTCTGTCATGTTTCTCTCAGTCCAATGCTCCTGAAGGGAGCCCCCAACCCACAGAGAATCACCTGAATTTGCAGTTCTCCTCAGCTACGCAGAGCATTTGAGCATCTTTACCCTCATCGTTTTGGTTTTATGGCCAAAATATTTGCTGTTTATGTTTTTTCCAACAGCTGCAATATCAAGTTTTCCCATCAGGCCGCTGCTTTAGGAGAAAAAGTTCTCACTGAACCTGCATGACTAAGTAAAGGAATGGTAACTGGAAGAAGAAATGTATGGAGGGAAAGTTTCCTAACCTGCTCTGCAGCGTACTTTTTTGACCCCACTAACCTGAACTCTGACTGGTTCAGCAGCATTTCTTAATCTTCTGTGCTTAAAGTATTTTTGATGAGCGGCCTCCCAGGTTTGACTGGAAAGATGGGCTTTCAGAGGTTGTTTTGTACAAAATCAAGTTCCAAGCAAGCTAGAAATATCAAGTAACTGTGAAATGTGTTATTGTTGTGTTCATATTGAGGTTACGCTGACCTGAAGTTGACCCTTTTTCTCTGGCTGATCAACAGACCTTTGATCAAAATCTTATATATTGGAACACATGGAATAGGGGGGAATGGAAAGTAGCATTTTCCGGCATCAGTAAGAGTTCTAGATGAACGCGTTGGGCAGTATTTCCCCTCCTTCCTTACAGTAAATGTTCTAACCTGTTATGGCTATTACATTTTTAAAACAGTATACATAGGTAGTATGCAAATTTTATTATTGTTCAGGAGATCATCCTGTTTCCCCCGTAAGGTAGATTCAAGATTCAAGGCTTTATTGTGTATGTGCACAGTAGCTACAGTGTAGATATGGAAATGCAAAACTTAAGTCAGGCTCCTCCAACACGGCAACATGAATATATATATGACAAAACAAATAAAATAGTGCAAGAGAATGTTTTGAAATATTCAAGTAAATACAAATAAAATAGAAGTAGAAATCTAAGCATGAAACTTAGAATGAACCTTTTGTATTTAAATAAAAGTGCTTATAGTTTAACGCTTGTCAGAGATTCGACCTTACCTGATGTTTCCTTATTCCATTAAAGGATAGTTATTGAAAACTCCTTCACATCTAAGCTCAATGTCTCTAAAAGTCCCATTTAAACTTATTTTATTGGTTACTTGTTATTTTGCATCCTTCATCCATTTAACTCGTTTCCACTTTCCAACGATTTAAATCAATCAATCAATCAATCAATGTTTATTTATATAGCCCAATATCACAAATGTTACATTTGTCTCAGTGGACTTTACAGTTTGTACAAAATATCAGTATGACAATACGACACCCTCTATCCTTAGACCCTCACATCGTACAAGGAAAAACTTCCGGAGAAAACCCACAGTTTAAGGGGAAAAATGGGAGAAACCTCAGGGAGAGCAACAGAGGAGGGATCCCTCTCCCAGGACGGACAGACGTGCAATAGATGCCGTGTGTAAATTGAAAAGATAATACATTTGCAACATAGGTAGTCCAAATGTTTGGAAATGCATGTGTGTATAATAGGAAGATGAATCCACGAGGATATCCATCCAGGACCTATGATCCAGGACCACAGCCACGACTCAAGATCCAGGGCTCGCAATCCAGGACAGAGGAGCGCAGGATCATCCATGACTCCGGATCCCGGTGTATATAGACACCAAAAAGAAAGATATTTGGGGAAGCTGGGTTAATCGGAACATGAGAGTACACAGGTATAGACAGAGAGAAGGAAGAAGTAAGATGTCACCCGACAAACTAAGCCTATATCAGCAACCCTGCATTCTTGGAACGCAATGCCCTAGTAGGACAGTAGGGTATAATGAGTTCTTTAAGGTAAGATGGCGCCTGCCCATTAAGGGCTTTGTAGGCGAGAAGAAGAATTTTAAATTCTATCCTGTGTTCTATAGGGAGCCAGTGTAAGGCAGCCAGAACAGGAGTAATGTGGTCCCTTTTCCTAACTCTGGTTAGTACACGAGCCGCAGCATTTTGAATCAGCTGAAGCGACTTGACTGACTTCTTGGTACACCCTGATAATAAAGAGTTACAATAATCCAGCCTTGAAGTAACAAATGCATGGACTAGTTTCTCTGCATCGTTTTGAGGCAAGATATGCCTGATTTTTGCAATGTTACGTAGATGGAAGTAGGCGGTCCTTGAAATTGATTTTATGTGGGCGTTAAAGGATAAATCCTGATCAAATATAACACCAAGATTCCTTACAGTCTCACTGGAGGCCAAATTAATGCCATCCATAGTTAGTATATCCTTATATAATTTGTTTCGTAGATTCTTCGGGCCAAGTACAATAACTTCAGTTTTGGTCGTGTTTAACATCAAAAAGTTTAAGGTCATCCACGTTTTTAAGTCCTTAAGGCAGTCTTGAATTTTATTTAGATGATTAATTTCATCAGGCTTGATTGATAAATAGTTGAGTATCATCCGCATAACAATGAAAGTTTACAGAATGATTCCTTATAATATTGCCTAACGGAAGCATATATAATGTGAACAAAATAGGTCCGAGCACTGAGCCCTGTGGCACTCCATGGCTAACTTTGGTTTGCGTGGAAGATTCATCATTGACACGTACAAACTGAGAGCGTTCAGATAGATAGGACCTAAACCAGTCTAAAGCAGTTCCCTGTATGCCAACTAAGTGCTCTAGTCTTTGCAATAGGATATCATGGTCGATAGTATCAAATGCAGCACTGAGATCGAGCAAAACAAGAATAGAGACACGTCCCTTGTCAGAGGCTATTAGAATGTCATTTGTGACTTTAACCAGAGCTGTCTCTGTGCTATGATGTGTTCTAAAGCCAGACTGAAAAGCTTCAAATAAATCATTGTTTTTTAAGTAATCACACAACTGTTTTGCGACCGCTTTCTCAAGAATTTTTGAGAGGAACGGAAGATTAGAAATAGGTCTATAGTTGGCTAAAACCTCTGGATCGAGGTTGTGCTTTTTAAGAAGCGGTTTTATCACTGCTACTTTGAAGGATTGTGGAACATAGCCTGATAATAAAGACATATTCATAATATTTAATAAATAAGTGCTAATTAATGGAAAAACTTCCTTCAACAGCTTAGTTGGAATTGGGTCTAACATGCACGTTGATGGTTTAGAAGAGAGAATCATTGAATTTAATTGTTCAAGGTTTATGGCTGAAAAGCATTCTAGTTTACTATCTAGTGTAATATTAGAACTTACGTTTCCGGGAACTGTTGATAACACTATACTGGTCAAAGGCAAGAGGTCATTAATTTTGTTTCTAAGAGTAACAATTTTATCGTTAAAAAAGCACATAAAATCATTACTACTGAGTGCTATGGGAATAGAAGGCTCAATCGAGCTGTGGCTTTCTGTCAGCCTGGCTACAGTGCTGAAAAGAAATCTTGCATTATTCTTATTCTCATCTATTAATGAAGAGTAGTAAGCTGCTCTCGCTTTACGCAATGCTTTCTTATATTCATTGAGAGTAATATGCCAAATTAAACGAGATTCTTCAAGTTTAGTAGAACGCCATATCCTTTCAAGTTGTCTCGACTTTTGCTTTATTTTGCGGGTTTCGGCATTATGCCATGGAGCTAGTCTATGTTGTTTTATTTTCTTCTTTTTCAAAGGAGCAACAGAGTCTAATTTATTCGCAGCGCATCTGTAGCACTATCAACAACATGATCAATTTGGGGTGGTGTACATTTTGTATAAGTTTCCTCCCTTACATGCAGACATGCTATCGAGTTAAGTATTGGTGGAATCTCTTCCTTAAATTTGGCTATAGCACTAACAGATAGGTTTCTGCTGCAGGAGCTTTTGACTAATGCTTTGTAGTCTCGTAACAGTACTTCAAAAGTTACTAAGAAATGGTCGGATAAAGCAGGATTATGCGGTTCGACTAATAGTTGCTCAATTTCAATACCATAAGTCAGAACAAGGTCGAGAGTGTGATTATAGCAGTGGGTTGGTTTATTTACACTCTGACAAAAACCAACAGAATCTAATATAGAGTTAAATGCAACAGTAAGGCTATTTTTATCATCGTCAACATGAATATTAAAGTCACCTACGATAATTACTTTATCTGTTTTAAGAACCAAAGTTGATAAAAACTCAGAGAATTCAGATAAGAATTCTGAATAAGGACCTGGTGCACGGTACACTGTAACAAATAAGATTGGCTGCAAAGTTTTCCAGGTCGGATGCATAAGACTAAAAACGAGACTTTCAAAGGAGGTATAATTTAATTTTGGTTTAGTATTGATAAGTAAACTTGAGTCAAAGATGGCTGCAACTCCACCTCCTCGGCCCGTGCCTCGGGCAATATGAGTATTGATATGGCTGGGTGGAGTGGCCTCATTTATGCTGACATATTCTTCATGTCTCAACCAAGTTTCAGTGAGACAGCATATATCAATATTATAATCTGATATTAAATCATTTACCAATATTGCTTTAGATGCTAGAGATCTTATGTTTAAGAGACCACATTTAATATTCCTGTTTTGTTGCACTGTAGTAGTTGTTACATTTACTTTGATTAGGTTATTATGTATGACACCTCTATTAGGTTTTACCTTAACTTGTCCTTGGGCAGACACTTACGCTGCTTTTACCTGTGTTTCAGGAGGGGGTCAGGAGGACGGGCCTGGGCTGACA